AAACTTCCAAGAATAATTCCCATATACCCTTCACTTAGATCCCCCATTATTAACATTTTGTCACATTTGCTTTGTTATTCTGTGTATGTATATATGGATGTATATACGAGAGTTTTTCCTAAATCACTTGACAATAAGTTGCAGGCAAATTCCCCTTGACCCTTAAGTACTTCAGTGTGTATTTCTTAACAAAGACATTCTGTTACCAAACCACAGTACTATGATCAAAATCAGGAAATTGACATCGATACAATACTGTTACATAACTACAAACTTTATTCAAACTTTGCCAGTTTTCCCAGCAATGTCCTTAGTAGCAAAAAAAAAAAAAAAAAAAAAAAAGTTACTGTTTCCACTTCGCTGTTCAGTCCAGGATCATGTCCTGCATTTAGTTCTCATGTGTCTTCTGTCTGTTTTATTCTGGAACACTCCAGTCTGTCTTTCAGGATTGTGATGTTTGCTTTTTTAAGGAGACAGGCCAGTTATTTTGTAGAAGACTTCTCAGTTTTGGCTTGTCTAGTGTTTCCTCATAATTAGATTCAGGTTCTGCATTTTTGGAAGGAATGTCATACACGGTTTTTCTTTCTCAGTTCATCAGTGCGCGGTTACTCTTGGACAAGGCTCAGTTTCTTTGCTTGTTAGTCTACATTCACATTCGGATCCACTCCCCTGGGACCACCGTTTCCATCCCACCATGGTCTGTCCCCCAGCTGCCCCTGTGTCACGTCCTGTCATACTTCTGTAGTCTGTGCCCCCAGTGGGCGTCCCATTAGTTCTCATTTCTGGTGTAAGAGGCATTTCCCATATTCAGATCATATGCAGGCTTGTCAATAGATGATTGGTTGTTTCCTGCCTCTCTCCTGGATCCAGACTGACCACTCAGGTGCTTACTGTGCTCCTCCTTTGTGGAGCGCACTTCCAGAATGCTGCTGTTTTCTCTTATGATTTAACAATGTGAACATTCCTTTAATATTGGTAGTGGAGGAGGAGGAGGTGGAGGAAGAGATTAAATTAACGGGGTGCTTGTACTGTTGGTGGTGCCCAGCTTCATCTCACTGAATCCAGACCACAGCCCTGTGTGCTGCGTACTCTTCATTTTTTTACAGGTAAGGAAGAGGTGGCACATGGACGTTAGGTTCCGTGACCGAGGCCATACAGTTGATAAGCAGTGAAACTGAAATCACACAGTAAAAGGGAAAGGAATAATTTTGGATGCTGTGAGGTGGTAAGAAAAAGTAGAAAAAGAAAATTCTGCTGATTCCAAGCACCAGTGAGCATCAGTTAGTGATTTGTTCAGTCACCAGAGACGAGAGGCTGGAAGAGGGTGGAGGCTTGCTGGGAGATGTCAATTTGGGAGACTTTAGTGTTGAGGCAGTAGATGAAGTCTTCAGAAACAGTGAACTCACTGAGAAAGAAGTGCGGAAATGGTGAGTCCAGGGCGGATGGTTTGGAAGTGGTCACATTTAGGGAGAGGGGAGAGGAGCTGACACAGATCGTAAAGGAGACTCTGCATCGTGACTGGAGGCCCTGTTCTCTCCCTGTGGGGACACCCTGGGTGCGGGAGGTGGAAGGTGGGAGACGGGCTCAGCGAGCAGGCCTTGCTCTCCTGTCCACTCCGCCAGGCTCTGTGTTAGGTGCTGGGGACACAGGTGAAGAAGGTCCCCCTGCTTGTCCAGAGGAGCTTGTAACCTAGTGATTCCTATTTTATGTTGTTTAGGACAGTAGACGAGTGGTTGCCTTCAATGCTATTTTTATAAGACACATTTGTCAAAAGTGTCTCCAAAGCTTAGAATATCCATGCTAGAAAGAGCCTTAGAAATCCTAGGTATGGGCATCCTCATTTGTCTCGGGAAAAACTGAAGCCCAGGGTAGCTGAGGAGTTTGCCGTTGCTCAGACAAGCAAGGTGGTGGCAAGCCTTCTGGCTCCCAGATCATGTCACCAACAGCGTGACCACTGTGACCCCCGTGTTTGGCACGGGTCAGCATCAGGGTGAGCAGAGGGGTTGTCTGGTCAGCTTGCCCCTTGGGGACTGTCCCGCCCCAGTGGGACTCTGTGGGTCAGTGGCTCGCCATTCTGCCATGGCCCAGGCTCTCTCTGAGCTGCTGGTTGTTTCCACCGCTTCTTGAGGGTGTCCAGTGCCCTTTTCCTCTGGATTTCACTGTTTCTGTTAATGGAATGGCTCTTCGCATAGTGCTCACCTCCTCCCGTTAGCCAGCTGCCTCTGCCCCAGGGCCGGCTCTTGCATCCATTCCTGTCTCGTCACTTCCACTATTGTCACTCCATTTATCTCTCCTGATCCACTGCGACAAGCCCCTAACTCTTCTCTGCCTTTTTCCATCCCCTCCTTCATCTAATTCTTGTGCGTTGCTGTCAGATTAATCCTCTAAGAATGAAATTGCACGATTGTAAGGGCTTTTTATATGTTTTATTGCCCAGACACCCATCTGACGTTCTGTTACATAGGTTCCCGCCAGGCGGTCAGCCAGCCCATTTCAGTTTTAAACAGGTCTGTTACAAAGTTCTTACTTCTCTTGAAGTAAAACATTTTTGTTCTCCTTGTTTTATGGTGTAGTTGTCTCTTGAATCTCTGAAGAGGTTAATGATCAGCTCTTCAAAGCGCTTCTTTGTTGACAAGATTAGCCCTTCTCTCAGAGGCCAGTTGCTTTGCTTTCTCACCCTCGTGCGTTTTCCTGAGCCTGACTTTCCTCAGGTGTCTTGTGAGTCATGACTGTTCTTCCACGTTTGTACAGGTGGTACTAGATTGCTCAGTTTTAGGGGCTGTCGTGGGTTTCTTCAGCAGTTCTGTGGTCACTGTCCCACCAGCAGGCCTCACCCCAGCTGCCCTGTGTGGGGAACAGGTCAGCTTCCCTTCAGAGTGTGTGCAGGGGTGGAGGAGGGGAAGATCTTAAATTACTAAGTCTCTGCTGCCCTGAAGAGTGTGATTAACAAAGTGGGGGGTGGTGGACTGTTTTAATTATTCATTTAAATGTTATAGTGGGAGTTCAGTGATCATTCAGCTTCTAAAAATCATACTTTTTCTTATGAAAAGTAATAATTCTTAGAGCCCTCTGGATCCTTGTTCTAATTTGAATAATTGCTCTCTAGGCCTGCTTCCCAGCTTCTGTCCTGAGATTGATTTTCATGACATTTCTCTTATATTTCTTGATTTCCCATGTCTTTTTGGATTTCTTGGAGAACTTCCTTAATTCATTCTTTCAGAATCTGTGGATAAGAAAACCTTTAAATCCTTACGTACATGACAATGTCTTTATTTTGTAATCACATTTGAATGATAGTTCAGTTGGGTATAAAACTCCCAGTTCAAAATAAGCTTCCCTCAGGATTTTGAACACATTTTTCGCTCCTGCAATCTAGTGTTATTAATTAGAAGCTTGGTGATGATTTGATAATCTGTTTCTTGTTCCTTTATAGGTAGCCCTCTGAGAGTTGGACTGTTGTGAGAATGAGGCTAGGTGTGAGTCTTTTATGATTCACCTTGTTTATTACCTTTCCAACATGAAGATTCATGTTGTGAGGCCTGGGAACTTTGTGTGGCTATTACTCCATTTTATTTCTATCTTTTTGAAAATCATATTGGCTAGTTGCTAGACTTCGTACATTGATCACCTATATCTTTTAGCTTTTCTTTCCTTTTGCTTTTGCTCTGATGACTTTTCCTTGCTTTTTCTTCTAGCTGTTCTATCGAATTTTCACATTTAAACAATCGAGTTTCAGTTTCCAAGAACTTTTCTTTTTTAAAGATTACTTCATTTTCTTATTAGCCTGTTCTTATTTTAGGGATGCAATATTTTTAGGTCTTTCTGAGGATACTCATTAGAATTTTTAAAATTATCTTGTGTTCCCTGAGTTTTCTGTTCTGTGTCCTTGCTAACCCCACAGTAGTCTCTCTCCTTAATTCTGATGGAAAGAGAGTCCCCCTCCTCCACTGCTGACTTTTTCTTTGTTAATTTTGGCTGAGGGGTTATCTGATCTTATGATCTCATCTGCTTTCCATGTTCCCAGAAATTTATCTACATTTTTTAGACACTCATTTTGACAGTGAAAAAAAAAAATTTGTCATTTGACAGAAATTTGGGAGGAGAAGAATGAGCAGCTCAGTCAGTACCTGAGACCTTCCCCAGCCCTCTCAGTTCTACGCAGTATTTCAGAACTGTCTTTGATATTTATTATTTTGAAACAAAATGGCAGCCAACAACAGTTGGTACCTAGATATAGATTCTGATATTTGAATGAATTTCCAACAAACCTGGTCTGTGCTTTTCACGTGTCATTACCCTGACGGGGCCTGGGGTGCGCTGAGAAGCCAGATGTCCTGGTCTCCAGGAGGCCTCCGTATTCTGCTTCACAGTGTCGTTCCAGGGATGGCAGGGAGAGGAACCTCCCCTTCCACCCGCCGGCAGTGGCCCCGTGAGTGCTGGAAGGCTCCAGACGCTGGGTGGGCTCAGCCAGTGCCCCTCTCTGCTCTCCCAGCATCTTGCATTTCCCAGTCGGGACCTGATTTACAGAATAAGAGCACTGGCTAGGGACAGTGGTGGTCATCTGCGATCGCAGGGCTCTCAGACTTCATTGGGGGATTTCACCTGGAAGACGCCCACCCCAGCCCATTAGAAAAGGGGTGAAGGGTCGTGATGGGGTCTCCCGGGGAGAGCCCAGACAAGGCACCGCAGGGACCCTGTGCGCCAGATGTTAGCGGGGCCACTTCTGGGGAGCGTGTAGGCTTCGCACCTTCCCATGTTCGTGGGACTTAAGTGGCAGAATTGTGTCATTTTATTCCCATGAAGGAAGCGAGGACCAGCCTGGCCCTTGTCCCCCCAGCCTGTCTCCACCAATCCACTCCTATTTCCCACACGATCAACTGTCCAACCTCCCCCCCGTTCCCCTGAGGATCTCACGGTTCTTTTTATCATCCGTTCAGCACGTACTCAGCAGATCGACGAATGATGAAGCTCGTGAATGAACTCTCCGTCTCTGTCTGTAGATTACGGTTTTCCAGACCTGACTGAGAAGGCTGGTCCCATAGAGGATACGGGCCAGAGTCAAGAGGGGGCGAGCCTCCCATCTCCCCTGCCCAAGATGAGCCTGGTGGAGCCACCCTGGCGTGTGGTCCCTGGAGAGGAGGAAGAGGCGGAGCAGCTGCTGCCTGTGACCAGATCCCAAGAAGAACCCCGAAGTCAGGTCCACGGCTTTCCTCCCACCGGCAGCAGCCAGACCCCAGGGGCCCCCGAACACCGGCACGAAGAGTCTGGGGACCAGGCCTCCTCGGGTGTGGAGGTGGGGAGCAGCATGGAGCCGAGCCTTTCCCTGCCCACAGTCGCCCCAAGTCCAGTGACCCTGGGCGGTCAGGATGTGGCCGACTGGGGGGCAGGGGGCACGGTGTTGCCAGCCGCAGGGCACAGGCTAGAGTTGGAGGCCCCTCGGGAGCCCAGTGAGGAGGCCACTGCGGAAACAGCTGGCTTGGCCGGCCGGCCGGGGGAGGGACCGTCCCCGGCCTCGTTCCCTCAGACAGAAGCTCCCGGCGGGGCTGAGGCCTCAGACGAAGACCCCACGCACCCTGGAGCCTCAGCCTCTTTCTCACTGGCTCCTGGAGACACGGAGCTGACACCTTCCTCTGCTGCCGTGGGACGAGAAACCCTCAGCCAGCTGCCCCAGGAAGGGCAGCCCGCCGCTGCTCCGTCTGGGACACCCTGGGACTCCACGCAGGTAAGGGAGGGTGCTCGCGGGCTGCCTGGCCATGCCCAGCTCGCGGCATGGGGAGAGCTCTGCCGGGCCCCGGGACAGCGGGTGGATTCCGGGCAGAACTTTGGGGGGCACAGCTCGTGGCCCAGCAGTGGGCATCCTCTTCACACTGAGGGGCACAGGCTCGGCACCCCCGCCCAGTAGTCACGGGTTCGGGTGCCCTCTGCTCGTCACAGCCGCCGAGGGTGGGTGCTGACAGCGCTCTGGCCAGCCCCACCTCCACGCCCCCCACCACTGTGCAGTTGCCCCTGCTTTCCTCCTCACCCGCCCACCCCGACACCAAAAGGAAAGGAGGGTCCCAGGTGGTCAGCTGTGCTTCTGGCCCCCAGGCATGCTACTGTTTGCCCTTCAGAACGTTACACATGCGTTTGCCTTCGAAAGACTCCAGACTGGCCCCTGCAGCCGGGCCCCTGTGACACGGCTTCCGCCTCCACTCCCTCCAGACATCGGGTTGGTGAACCTCGGCCGGGTCCTGGGCATGTCACCTTGCGGAGGCTGTCTGCTCTCACCCAGCTGTCACACCCATGCCTGGCCTCGCCCTCCTAGCTTCTCACTGGGTTCCGTCCACCCTCCCTCCAGATGCCCTTCTTATTTCTTTGCACAGGTGATCTGCAAAGACTGGAGCAACCTAGCCGGAAAGAACTACATCATCCTGAACATGGCGGAGAACGTGGACTGTGTGAGTGCTGGTGCGGCAGGCCGGGCCGGGGTGGGTGGCCTGACGCCCTGCGGGGAGCCAGCTCCCACCAACGTCTGAGAAAAGAGGGCTCTCGGGTTTTTAAATCCCCAGGGCTCTTTGTGCCTGCCCCCCTCCGTTTTTGATTCTGTGTGTGATGTCGTCTCTCTATGAGGATATTGAAATTGCTTTCTGAAGAGTTGTTTTCTCCCTGTACGGGACGCTTTCCCCATTTGTTAGTTTTGTTCTCAATTTTCCAGCATCCTCTCCTCAGATGTCTGGCGGCATTTGTCTGGTGCTGTTTAAGGAGGGCCAGCAAAAGCTGTTCGGAAGCTTTGAGCCTGGGGGTGGGCTTCACTGTAGCTTCTCGGGAGGGTGGTCTGGCCGGGCCATTTCATTTGAAAATTTCTAATGTGAGTGTCTTTAGGGCCTTCCTCTTGGGTGATTAGATTCTTGGAAAAAGGAACTTCTGTCCTTCGGGTAGGGTATGGGGCTGGCCGCCAGGGTTCTGGGAGCAGCTTGGGAGAGGGCTGTGTTTCTGTGTTAGGATACATGTGCCTGATGGGTGAGTTCATTCACCGCACCCATTCGCAGTGTGAGCCCCTCCCACAGCTGGGTCTGGTGTCCTCAAGGTCAGAGACCCTCTATTTTACCATCATTAAAGAACAAGCTTCCCGTCTTCTGCAGGGAGAAGGGATGTTTGTCAGCTGTGCGGTGTCAGGGGGAACTAGGGGTCCATTGCTTCTTAAACACACTCTCAGTGTGGTCCTGTGCTGGTGCCGTTTCCATTCTCTCTCCCAGAGGGAGCCAGTGCCACTTATCCAGAGCGTTTGGCAAGTTGGGCGAGAAGTCTGGGTGCTCCTCAGCTCTCCCCAACTGGCTCAGTGTCTGGCTCTCTCGGGCTTGCTGAACTGGGAAACTCTGACTCACCCATCCGCCTCCGGTGATCACATGCTGTGGCTCTTGTCTCCTCTGCTGTTTTGTTGTGGTTTTGTCTTTGTGGTTTTAGACCTTAAAAGAAAAAAACCTTCATTCTTGCTTAGTGTGTTTGGTAGAAAAGTGAAAGTACATGCACACATTTAATCCACAAGTGACCAACGAGGTGTTCTCTTTTTCCCAGCATCTTTATAAAGTGATAGATTGTTACATCATTGGTGTGTTTTAATCCAGGGCAGTGCAGTTATTAGTCTTACTGATGCTCACTCTGTTAACTGGAAATAAAGCACGATGTAAGGGCTGTGAGTCGAGTTCACTCAGTGTCTGACTGAGGACGGTGGCCTGGGAGACAGCCTCTCGGGTGGACGAGCCAGGATGCATATGAACTTCGGTGAAGGGGATGCATGCAGCGGAGACCTCAGGGAAAGGTCACTGCTGGCCTTGAGGACCAGATGTCTCAGTTAATGATTTGAGTGCTTTTCTGTGTGTGGGACAATGCAGGAATCTGGGGTCAATGCCATTCTTCCTTAGTATACATTTTAACTCTCTGGGGGCCCATATATCCAGACACAGAATGCTTCGTCCTGCATTCCTCTCAGAGTGTAGGTCAGCGACTGCAGTGGCTTAAGACTTGATCCTTGTGGAACTGAGTGGCAGGCAGCCTGCGTTGCCTACAGCCCCATCTTTGGCCAGTGAAAGCCTCAACTCAGAGTTGGCTTCTGAGTCCTTTTGACCAACCTGTAGTGTTTGCTAGTTTCCCTGCTTTCTGTGCACGAGGATGTTCCACGCTGTTCTTGAATGTTCCCTTCCCCGGACACGGAATCAACATTCTTCAAGGAGCTCTCATGGCTTTTATGGGGACTTGAGACTCTGGAGTTTGGGGTGCACATACTTGAACAATGAAGTCTAAAGTTAATGTCTCTGTTCTCTTCCCAAAGAACACATAGAAGCTTAAATGCTTTCATTCTGCTTTCCCTGTTTTTGTCTGGTTTGTTATTCTCATTTAACACTTGACATCCACCTAATTAGTCAATATTATTTTTTACGGTGGATTTTTTAATTATAAAAAAATCTTAACATAAAATTTATCATTCTAATCATTTTTAAGTGTACGGTTGTGTTAAGTACATTTACATTATTGTGAAACAGATCTCCAGAACTTTTTCATCTTGCAAAAACTGAAATTCTGTCCCCATTAAACAACTCCATTTCACCCCTCTCTCAACCACCCTTCTACTTTCTGTCTCCATGAATCTGAGTGCTCTGGGCCCCTCATATTAGTGGGATCGCACAGTATTTGTCTTTTTGTGACATCTTGGGCACGTTCCAACGGGTGGCGCCGTGGGGTCAGCCTGTATGCGTACGTTCACCTTCCCTGGATACTGTGCAGCGACTTTCCACGGTGACTGTGCCAGTGACTCTGCGGCAGCGCCTGGGTGCTCTGGGGCTGCCGTGTCTGCCGGCCACCGGTGTTGTTTTTCATTTTAGCCATTTTGCGAGGTGTGTAGTGTGGTGGCATCACTTGGTGGTTTTACTTTGCATTTCCCTGATGATCAACAGAGTTGAACAACTTTTCCTGTGTGTTTTAGCCTCTTGGTCAAGTGCCTCATCGGATCTTTTGCTCATTTATCGACGGGGTTATCTGACTTCTTATTTATCGACTGGGTTATCTGACTTTTTATTTATTGATGTCTGTAAATTATTCATATGTCTTGGATATGAAACCTCTGTCTCGTATACATATTGTAAATGTTTTCTCCTACCCTGTGGGGTGCCTTTTCACCCTCTTAATAGTACCCTCTGATAAATGGAAGTTCTTAATTTTTTTAAACTTCATCATAAAATACGCCAACTTATCAGTTTTTTCGTTCATGGTTAGTGGTTTCGTCGGGTCCAATTTAGAAATGTTTGCCTACTCCAAGGCCATGCTTGTTTCTAAAAGCTTTAGATCTGAAATGCATCTGGAATTGACTTTGGTGTATGGTGTGACCTATGAGTCCAGGTATGTTTTTTCTTTTCTGCTGAGATATCCAGTCGTCCCAGCACCTATGACTGAATAAGTCCTTTCAATCCTCACAGTAAGCCCACGGATTTAGGACCGATGCCCACATTTTCAGATGGGGAAACTGAGGCTCAGAGAGGTACAGTGTGTTGCTAAAGGTCACAGAGCCGATAAATGGCAGAACCAAGATTTGAATCCATATTTGATTCCAAAGCCACGGACACTCACTTTCCATCTACAGAATAAAATGTATGAGATACCTAGTCATCAGACCCTCCCAGAACTGACTTTGTGGGTCTAGGGCTTAAGCCAGGCAAACGTCTGGACCCTGAAAATGGGGGGTGTGCGCAGGTGGTGGAGCACAGGGCTGCAGCCCACACACACACGGGGAGGCGCCGCCCCAAGGAGGGCTCAGGCACGGCTGCCCCTCCCCTGCACGCACACACGGACGGTAGCGGCCATTTCAGGAGCTGGGGCTTCCCGAGCCGCTCGCTCGGGCCATCTCCAGGTACCAGCCTTCTCCCAGGTGTGGAACTGAGCAGGCGTCTCTTAGGCTGCTGAGCCTAACGCTCGTGAGAGCCTGCACTGGGCACTTGCCATGGCAACAAGGCCCTTCATCACGTTAGTAGCATGACAGCCACGCTCCTTAGCTTGGGCCCCAGCAGAAAGGAGGGCCCACAAGGCTGGCCTGGAGAGACGCCTGTGTCTCATGGGCAGAGACACCTGGCTCGCGGCCCCGCGGCTGGGAGCATTGGAGACAGGAGCCCACGTACAGGAGGGAGGGGCTGCTGGGGGCCACGGGTCGGGGGACCCGGCCAGAGGAGGGCCTCTTCCCAGACGGGCCAGGAAGGGACAGTGACAGGCTGGGAGCCAGAGGCAAGGCCTCCTGCCCCATGCCGAGTTCCTGTTCAGTGCCAGCCTCTTGCTTTTGTTTTTAAGTTGTGTGATTACCTGTGTACAAGCTGAAGGAAATCTCAGCAGCACAAGAGCGTCAGATGGGAAAGAAGTCTCCTTTCCCCTTCTCCTGCCCCTCCCTGCGGCCAGGGGTCTACCATTATGGCCATCTCTGCTAATTGTCCTGAGCACCGCTGCACCCTGCGAGGACACAGGCGTCTTGTTTTTAAAATCTATTTTATACATATTAGTGTATATATGTCAACCCCAATCTCCCAGTTCATCCCCACCCCCCGCTTTCCCGCCTCGGTGTCCACACCTTCGTTCTCTACAGCAGACTCTTCCTTGACTCCCCAGCTTTGAGCCCTGTCTCTCCAGTGACAGGGGGAGGGGAGTTTGGGGAGGATGCCTCCCGCCTCGGTGGCCGTATTGACGCGCACTCTCTTGTCCTCCCCCCCCCGACATACTCGTCCGTCACATGACACGTCTGGACACTCAGGCCCCGCGTGAGTGCAAGAGGCCAAGGCAGGAGGGGGCACCTGGACGCCTGCAGGGACCAAGTGGACTCAGGTCTTGCTGTGCCCACTGTCCCCCGAGGCCAGGCTCACAGCCTCCTCCGCGGTCCCCAGAGGTCCCTGAGCAGCCACTCTGGGCAGCCCGCTGGCCTTTCCCGGGTCAGAGGGGCCCAGGCATAGAGGCTGGGGTCGGGGGGCATCACCCCTCACAGAACGCGGGGCTTTCTCTCCGCCCTCGTAGGAGGTGTTCCGGCGGCACCGGGGGCTGCAGCTCCTGGCCCTGGTGGAGGGGGCGCTGCCCCGCCACGGCCGCAGCCGCCACGGGCACTGGCGCATCTCCCTGAGCAAGCCCAGCGAGAAGGAGCGGTACCTGCTGATGACCTTGGTGGGCGAGCAAGGTGAGTGGGGGCCGCGGGGAGGGCAAGCTGAGTCCCAGCTGGACTCCCTGGTTCAGGGTTCAGTGACGCCCACGGGCCTGCGTTCTGGAGAGAAGGAGGATGAGTGCACCCTGGTCGGGAGGGAGGCGCAGGCCCATGTACTCTGTGTGGTGGGGGAGGGGCCGTGGGTGTGGCTTCTGGAAGGGGCCAGCGGGTGGGCAGCAGGTACGGGTCATGGTCTGTGTGGGCTCCAGGCTGGGGAGTGAGGTTCGGAGGCTCAGACAGGGGGTCCGAGGGTCAGGAGCCTGAGCACCTCTGCGGCCAGGGCTGTGCTGATGGTGCGTTTCCCTAGGGGTGGTGCCCACTCAAGACGTCCTCTCCGTGCTGGGCGACATCCGCAGGAGCCTGGTGGAGGTAAGAGTGCGGCCGTGCTCCCTGCACCCCTAAAACTCTGGGGCGGGGCTGCCTTCCCTGAGGCGTGAGGGCCTGCGTGGCGGGGTGCGGCCTGAAGCAGCTCTGGACAGCTCCTGCCTCCGGTCTCCGAGGCCCAGCTCCCGAGGAGCACGGAGCTACCAGCTGCGGTGCGTGTGACATGCGACAGCAGGCACAGACCCAAGCCATGGAGGGAGGTGGTCAGGAGAGGATGCAGAGGGAGGGGCCCGCCGAGGGGATCTTGGAGGGTAAGTGGAGTTCTTTGGTGGACGGCGGAGAAGCGCCACGTCTAGCCAGGAAACCGTGCAGAAGCCTGGTGGGTGGGGAGAACGTGGCGCAGTTCCCAAAGGCACAAAAGAAAGTGTCACCAGGCACTCCCCACTGAGAGTCGCGCGCTGGGCCAGCTCGGGGGCCCCGGGGCGGGGTGGGTGGGGGGGCGACCCAGGCAGTCCACCGCCCACCTGGCCGGCCCCAGGGACCTGGGCTGAGGAGACAGGCTGGCTGACCTCTACTCCAGATCCACCTTCCCCAGAGGAGTAAGTGCAGTTCCTCACCTCCCTTCTTGAGGACAGCCCGTGTCCTCCAGGCCCCGTCCACTCACTGGAATCCAGGGGCCTTATCAGTCCCCTTAGTTCTCAAGAGCTCTGCAGTATTTGTTTTTTGTTTTTTTATTTAATTTATTTATTTATTTTTGGCTGCGTTGGGTCTTCGTTGCTGTGCATGGGCTTTCTCTAGTTGCGGCGAGCGGGGGCTGCTCTGTTGTGATGCGGCGGCTTCTCATTGTCGTGGTTTCTCTTGTTGCAGAGCACAGGCTCTAGGTGCGCATGCTTCAGTAGTTGTGACACGCGGGCTCAGTGGTTGTGGCTTGCGGGCTCTAGAGTGCAGACTCAGTAATTGTGGCACATGGGCGTAGTTGCTCCGCAGCTTAGTTGCTCCATGGCATCTTCCCGGACTAGGGCTCGAACCTGTGTCCCCTGCATTGGCAGGCGGATTCTTAACCACTGCGCCACCAGGGAAGCCCCTTGCAGTGTTTTTAGTTTGTTTTTTATATATTTATTTATTTGGCTGTGTCGGGTCTTAGTTGCGGCATGAGGGATCTTTAGTTGTGGCATGTGAACTCTTAGTTGTGGCATGTGGGATCTAGTATCGTAACCAGTGATCGAACCCAGGCCCCCTGCATTGCGAGTGTGGAGTCTTAGCCCCTGGACCACCAGGGAAGTCCCTCGAGAGCCCTCCAGTGTTTGTTGACAGAGCTGAGGCACCCGTGCCCGTGGGCCCCACCTCCTTATCTAGTCCACGCCAGGCTGGGGGTGGCCTCCGTGGTGGTTTGCGGCTTTTTGATAAGTGTGCTGAGTGCCAGACTGGGTTCTCTCACCCGGCCCTGAGCACCACCCTGGGGTTGTAAGCAGTAAATAAGGCCCCCTGTTGAGTACCGTAGGTGCCCCATTTAAGACAGGAGCTGAAACCCAGAGCAAGGAGGTGACTTGCCCAAAATGGCACAGCTAGTGCGTGGCTGAGCCAGGCTTTGGACCAGGCCTGAGAGATTCAAGAGCCTGGGCCTTTCACCGTGATGCTGTATCTACACCACCTGGGTAGCCATGGGGGGCCGGTCCAGTTGTGAGACTTGGGGTTCATGAACACTGGGGGGCTGGTGGAAAGTTGGGTTTAACCTTTTTTACAGACCCTTCTGCTTCTCCCCTCCCCTGGGTATTCTGGCTTTACTGGACGTTTCATTCAGACTGATTCGGCCGAAAAGCATGCTGGGTCTTTGGACGTATATTAGTGGGCAGATTTAGCATGTGCATTGGTGGTGAATCTAGCAGGAGAACTGAGCCTTGATAACTTAAAAAGTGAATAGAGAAAGTGCTGGAAATACACAGGTGGTTCACAGGAAGAAGAGCTAACACCTGGCTTTAGAAAGGGGGACTCCCAGGTCTCTGCGCCGGAGCCAGTGGACGGCACCCTCACCCTCGCACCTGTCATCTGATGATGGCACCTCGCCGTCCCTGCTTTCCTCCCCCCGAGATGCAGATTGTGGAGAGTGTCTGCCTGACCCGGTGGGGACAGAGCAGACACTCGGCCAGAGAAGGCCACCCACTCAAGACAACCCACAGTGTCGGGGGGTGCTGGGCAGCTAAATGACATTGGTGACCACTCCAGTGGGAAGAGGGAGGAAGCTGAGAGACTGGGGGTGGCAGAGGACGTGCACTCTCTGGCCCACAATGGCCATAATGATACCGGGACACCCCTGCCCCCCAAGGTAGAAGCTGTGTTTGCAATTCCTTGCGGTGTGTGGTGGAGAATGTGAGGAGAGAGCTTCACAGCTGCTCGTGTCCTTTTTCAAGCTGGTGGGGACAGTGTGGATTGTGACTGCCGGCATGGGGCCAACCTCAGTGGGGGGTTAGGGCCACCACCAGGTGGGTTTAGGGCCAAACGTCGCCTGCAGCAGGGTCAGAGCCACTTCGGGCTTGTGAGGAGTCTGGGGATGGAGGCGCCCTCAGGCAGCGTGGGCTGGGGATCGGGCAGGGTCCTCGCCGAGCACAGGTCCAGCCAGGCCTCTGAGGGAGCTTGTTCCAAGCCTGTTCCCCGTCCCTGAGCTGCAACCCCAAGGGCCCTGTGGGGAGCCCTGGCACCCTAGGATCTTGGCTAAGGATCCGGGCCCCTCCCGCCCCCAGATTGGCATCCAGAACTACTCCACCACCAGCAGCTGCCAGGCCCGGGCCAGCCAGGTACGCAGCGACTACGGGACGCTCTTTGTGGTGCTGGTGGCCATCGGCGCCATCTGCGTCATCATCATCGTGCTCGGCCTGCTCTATAACTGCTGGCAGCGCCGGCTGCCCAAGCTGAAACACGTGGTGAGCGAGCGTGGAGCCCAGTGGGGCAGGGGGCTGGGCCGCGGTGGTGCCGGTGAGGGGGTGCCCAGCAAGCTCAGACATCTGAGGCTCAGTGTCCCCATCTGCCTTGGGGTGACTGCGGGTGGGGCGCTAGTGCAGGGCCTGGCCCCCAGTCGCCCTCTGCAGGGCGCCAGCCTCGCATTAGGTGCCGGAGGTGCAGGGAGTGGGACGTTGGCTGCACCCGCAGGGCCGCTGCTGGGGGGGCGGGCGGCCTCGCAGGCCTGGGCTCCTGTGGATGCCTCACCAGACAGGCCCTGGCTTGGGGTCTTGGGGTCAAGAGGAAGCTCCAGCAGCCTGGCAGCTCCCCCCAAAGGAGGGGCCAGGGCACAAAGCTCCTGTTTCCCATGAGTCCCTTTAGAAGGGGTGGGTGGTGGTGGGAGGGATCAGATGGTGTCAGGGAGGCCGTGGGTCTGTTCCGTGCGCAGGGTCAGTAGTCATTTTAAGAAAGGACCCAGAGCCGAAGGGGCCTGCGTCCATCAGGGTCCGCTGGGGTTCCCTGCGTGCGGTTTCGCCGCCGGCCTGAGGACCGGTGAAGGGATGAAGCGGGGGCGGCGGGGGCCCGGCGTGCTCTCCCAGCGGCCCCTCCCGCCGCAGTCGCACGGCGAGGAGCTGCGCTTCGTGGAGAACGGCTGCCACGACAACCCCACGCTGGACGTGGCCAGCGACAGCCAGTCGGAGATGCAGGAGAAGCAGCCCAGCCTGAACGGCGGCGGCGCCGTCAACGGCCCGGGGGGCTGGAGCGCGCTCATGGGGGGCAAGCGCGACCCCGAGGACTCGGACGTATTCGAGGAGGACACGCACCTGTGAGGGGCTGTGCCCCGCCCGGCCCTCGGCGCGGGGTCCCTGCTTTCCCCCGACTCACGACGCACCTCGGCCCCATCCCCGTCCCCACCCGACGCCCCGAGGGGCTGCCCCGGGACCCCATTAAAGCCGCCCGGAGAGCACACCGGGCCCCGCGCCTCCGCCTGCGCGACTGGTTTTTGCGCTTGGGGGCGGAGTGGGGGGAGAACGTGTGTGATAAGCGGGGGCGATGGACTAAGGGGAGGGGCGGGGCGGGCGCATCCCGGGTCGGTCCTCCGGGCGCCAGGCGCCGCTGCGGAGCGGGCGGGGCGGAGCGGGCGGGGCGGGGCGGGGCGCGGCGCGGCGTGTTTATATCCGGCGGGGCTTCGCCGCTGCCCTGGGGTCGCCGGGCCGGGGTCGGGGACGTCCGCGCCATGGATACCTGCGACCTGTTCTCCAGCTGCAGGAAGGGGGACGTGGGCCGAGTGCGGTGAGGAGCCGTGGCCCCGAGGAGGGTGTGAGTGGGCCGCCCGCGGAGCGCCTGGCCGGGGGGGTGGGGGTGGGGGACGGGGGCGGCCCGGGCGCCGAAGCAGGACCGCCCCGGTCCAGGCAGCTCTCTGAGCGGGGCCGCGGGGGTCGGGTGCTGGCGTGACTCTTTCCGGGAGTCCCGGAGGAGAGGACTGCCACGCGGACGCCCGGAGGAGGCGGAGAGGGGCAAAGAGAAGAGAAGGGCCCGGAGGTCAGACCCTGGGGGCAGGCCTGGGACGCCCCCTACGTGGCTCCTCTGATGAGCTGCGGAGCCCGCGCTGGGAACGCCTGTGGCCCGGAACCAGTCTCTGGTTCTCAGAAGTTCGGGAACTCCTAATTGCGGTTGACGCAGCCCGGGTGCTGCAATCGCCGTCCCCGCGGGCCGCACGGGGAGGGGAGGGGCTGCTGATGTGGGATAAGAGGCACCTGTTTTCCTTCCCCCATCCCTGGTCCCGACCTCCCCTAGCGCCCTCCCCGGGCCAGTCGGGGACTTCCTGAGCCCCGCAGCTTCTCCGGGCTCCTCCCCAGGGTCGGGTGACACCTGGGAGTTAGTTGGTAGCCCCCAAAGTGTGGTGCAGTCTGAGATCCAACCTGGGCGTCTCCTCGAAGTGGGTTCCTGTCCATCACCATTCGTGGTGGTCTCCCCTCACCCGTCTCCTCTGCTGCCTTGTTTCCTGACTTCCGCCTTCTATATAATCTGTCCATTTTTCGTTTCCACGCTGCCAGGATGTCTGCAAGTCTCCTGGTCGTCCTGTCCACCTCCAGTCCCTCTGCTCTGGGAAGGCTAACCTGCCACCCCATGCAGCCCGAGGGTTCGGGTGGAGGCAGGGCCCCACCCCCTCCTCCTCCCTCCCTCCCTCCCTCTCTCTCTCCCTCCCTCCCCCTCTCCCTCCCTCCCTGTCTCCCTCCCTCTCTCCCTCTCTCTGTCTCCCTCCCTCTCTCCCTCTCTCTGACTCCCTCCCTCCCTCCCTCTCTCCCTTAAGCCTTCAGCCCAGATGCTCAGCCTCTTCAGCTCTGGGGCCTCTGACGCCCAGGGGCTCCCACATCCACACTCTTTCGTGGTTCCTTTGCCTTAAATGCCTGTCCTGCTCTGGTCTCTGCCCTCACTTGGGGAGGCTTTCCTCCTTCCCCTTCCGCAGGTCTCCTCTCCAGACCCCAAACCCATCCTGACCCAGGCTCTGACCTCCTCTGCCCAGGTACCTGCTGGAGCAGCGAGACGTGGAGGTGAATGTGCGGGACAAGTGGGACAGCACCCCCTTGTGAGTGCCGGCGGGGGGCAGGGGGGTGGGTAGGGTGGGCGGGGCCTGCACGCCTGACAGCGCCCCTGCCCTGCCCATCTCCCTCTCAGGTACTATGCCTGCCTCTGTGGACACGAAGAGCTGGTGCTCTACCTGCTAGCCAACGGTGAGTGCGCAGGGCAGGGCTGGGTGGGGCGGTGGACGCGGGCTGTGCCCAGGGGCCCTGGCATCCCCTCTCAGTCCCGCGCGCCGTCAGCAAGTGCCCTTAGCTCTGCCCTCAGAGCCAGTTCTCCTCTCAGCTTCACAGCCCCGGGTCAGCGTCTCCCTGCGGCTGCCCCTCCCTGTCCTCTACCGTGTGTTGTTGTCCTTGCCACAGTGGGCATGCCCCACGGCCAGTGTGACCCACTTCCTGGCCTGAGTGGCTTCCCCGCTGTGTTTCCCATGAGCTAGAGAACCTGGCCTGCCCTGAGCTGCTCCGTGACGGGCGTTGCTCCCCCTCCCGCCCCGGCCAGCCCTCTGCCGCCTCCCCACGTGCCCCTCAGGGCCTTTGCACTTGCTGTTCCCTTTGCTCAGAAGGCCTTTCCCAGGTCTTGGCATGGCTCTCACTCATTTCAGGTGTCTGCACCTTGTCTCTGCCACAGTGACCTTCCACAGCTTCTCCTGTGGCAGCTGCCACCAGTGTCACCCTTCGTCTTGCTTAGCTTTTTTTTCAGAGCACCTGACGTCATTTGCTAACCTGTGTATGTCTTTCTGCCCCAGGAACCTCAGTTAGGTGAGGACGGGGACTCTTCTGCCTAGGGTGTGTCCCCAGACCGCCAGTGCACAGATTAGGGCCGGCCTCCAAGCCGTCTGTTTTGTGTGGTGTGTGGCGTGTGCCTGGGCCCCGGCGGGGAGGATGCTGGGGCACGAGCAGGCCCAGGGCAACTCGGGCCCCGTAGGTGGGGTGGGGAGGGGAGATGCGCCTCTCCCCCAGGCCCCTCCCCAGCTGTGGCGGGCAGCCCCATGGCCCTGCAGACTGGGCAGCCCTGCTGTCCCCAGGAGCCCGCTGCGAGGCCAACACCTTCGATGGGGAGCGCTGTCTCTACGGGGCCCAGAGTGAGGCCATCCGCCGGGCCCTGCGTGACTACAAGCAGGTGACGGCCTCCTACCGGCGGCGGGACTACTACTACAGCTGCCTGCTGCGGTGAGACTGAGCACGAGACAGCCCTGCACAGGGGCTCCGCGGTGGGCGCGGCTGGTGTGGGGCTGAGGGGCGGCACTGCTCAGCACCCCCTCCTCTGCCCCCAGCCTCCTGGAACAGGGCATCCACAGCGACGTGGCCTTCTTAGTGCACGGCAAGTCCTTCCGGGCACATCGCTGCATCCTGGGTGCTCGCAGCACCTACTTTGCACACATGCTCGACACCAAATGGAAGGGCAAGAGTGTCGTGGTCCTCAGGCACCCTCTGGTGCGTCCCTCCCGGGGATGGGGAGGGCAGAGGGTGAGCAGGGAATTTGTGTTGAGCGGCTGTCTCTGACCTTGTCTCCCTGCGGTCTCTGCCTACAGATCAACCCCGTGGCCTTTGGGGCCCTTCTGCAGTACCTGTACACAGGTGAGCCCTGGGTCTGGGTAGGGAGGGGCTGCAGCACACCCAGACGTGGCTTTGGCGCCACTTTTTCTCTCCTGGGGCTCATCCCCTGGGGTGCAGGGTGGTTCCAGCTGCCTCCTGGGCTGGCTTTTCCCACCCACAGAGGAGCCCTTCTCGTCTGTCCCGGGTCCTGTAGAACTCGGGTGGTGGGCCGAGGCACGGCCGCGGGGCAGCCGAGGGCCTCCTCAGGCTCTGAGCCTCCCCCCAGCCCTGCACCCATACCCAGGCTGCCTGGACGTCGGTGTGGAGCATGTCGGCGACTGTGAGCGTCTGGCCAAGCAGTGCCAGCTGTGGGACCTGCTCGGCGACCTGGAGGCCAAGTGTGAGTGTGCGTGTCCAGGCCTTGGGGCCCGGGGCCTCAGGCAGCAGCTGGCGGGCCGCCCGGCTCCCTGAAGCTGTGTTCTCCCCTCCACAGTGGCTTCCAAGCCAGGCACGTGTGTGAAGGTGCTGACCATTGAGCGCCCCCAGGCAGACCCCCGGTTGCGGGAGGACCTGGCCCTGCTGGCTGACTGTGCCCTGCCCCCCGAGCTCCGGGTAAGTGCACCCGTCTGGGCTGGGCTTGTGGGTAGGGCGTGTCTGGGGATGGGGATGGGGATGCGGTTTAAACCTAGAGCCCAGTTGCTTCCCTTTTCTGAGCTGGCCTGCTTGCTTTAGTTGTCGTGTATCTAAGTCAACACACGGGGCAGCGGTCGTCCTCCAGGATGAGCTACAACAGGCTCTTGGCCGGGGCCGGCTGCTCTCCCATCTCCTGCCTGCTCTGATGGCACCTGCTCTGCTGTCCCCCGCCAGGGTGATCTTGGCGAGCTGCCCTTCCCTTGCGACGGCTTCAGCAGCTGTCCTGATGTCTGCTTCCGAGTGGACGGTTACAGCTTCCTCTGTCACAAGGTACTAAGTTTTTTCTCTCCGGACCCCCACCCCTGCCTTAAGCCCTGGGCCAGCTCCTCCAGGCACAAGTCTTGGCCCACCCTGAGCCCAGCCTCCCACAGGCCTTCTTCTGTGGCCGCAGCGATTACTTCCGGGCCCTGCTGGATGACCACTTCCGAGAGAACGAGGAGCTGGAGGCGTCAGGCGGCCTCCTGGCCATCACCCTGCACGACATCTCGCCTGCCGTCTTCACCCACGTGCTGTACTACATCTACAGTGACCACACCGAGGTGTGTGTGCTGGGCAGGGATTGGGGGAGCTACACAGGCCATGTCACCACAGGGCTTAGAGGAAGCGCCCAGGTCCGGACTGGCTCTGAGAGGCCTGTTCTCCATGAGGCTGGAGTGTGGGTCCTGTGTGAACTTTTCTATCAGGTGGAGGGGCCCTGGTTCCAGGGCAGGAATGTGTGACAAGACTCATGGCATGAGCACCTGGCACTTGGAGAGACAGTGTAGCCATCTGAGGTCCCCAAGTTTTCCATCCAGGGGGTGGGCGGGGACAGTCACCCTGAATTCCTGCAACAGTGGGGATGCATTGGGGTCACCACAGGGCCCTTTGGCTGCCCCGAGGCAGCTGCCCCAGGTGAGGAGGCGGCAGGTGTGTGCTGCTTGCGTGCGCGCGTGTGTGCTGGTCACTGTAGTAATATGGTGACTGAGGAAGGGGGTTTGTTTCTTGTTTCTCTGCGGTGAGTGCCCAGGGCAGGGTTAGCACACTTCCTCCCAGAAGTGGTCAGTGGGCTGTAGGGTCCCTGTCACAGCTGCTCCCGGAGAACGGGGTGACGGCCAAGCAGGTGCCCCTGCCTGGACTGGGTGAAAGTTGCACCCAGCTTCCCTCGTCCTCTGGAGGCTGTGCCTGCCACAG